ATACTTTTCTAAAAAAATTCAGAATTTTTCTTTTCCTCATTGCATTACTATTTTTTTTTTTCCGAAACGATAGATTATATTATAAATCAAAATGCACAAATGTGCGAATACACAGCAGCCAACGACTGAATATACAGCAGTCAACAACTGAAAAAGTGGGAGGACAGGTCAAAAGACCGCCTAGAGTCCCGCTAGCAACGCTAGAATAAAACTCGCAACTAAAACTAAACAACTAAAACAACAAACAACTACTAAAAGGACCCCAACGGAGTAATACCCGAGTGTCGGATCCCATTGGGATAATAAGGTGACACTCAGGTTCACAGGGGCCAACGGCCCAGACCAAAAACACAATCATAAAACATAAAAACCAAACTACAAAGCAAACACTGAAAAGACAATAAAAAACACACGAGCCCTTCCTCTACAGCAAATCCTATCCTGACTAGCAGCCACCAAATCAACCTAGGGGAATCCCATAGCAAAAGAAAGCAACCCCTTCACTGCCAAACTGCCTAGCTGAGTCGAAACTCCTGCCATGAATCCACCCAAAGCCAATTCTTCCAAACGCCATAATACATCCAGAAAGCTCCCAACACCGCCAAAGCAAACAGTGCGCCCCGAAACCCAACCCCAGAGAACCGGAAAAAAAGAGCTGACTTGACGCCGCAACCCCCGCTCCAATTTCTCAAAAACACGAAGATACCTGAGCCGCACAAGAACCCGTCCCCCCGAACCGCAGGCGCCAAACCCTGCCTCTCCACCCGAGCCGCAGCCACTTGGCTCCGTCAACACAATGGAGGGACAGAGAAAGCAGGAAGCACAGCTAATCGCAAACAAAAGAGAACCGAGACAAGGTCGGCGAGAGAAAGAAACTTACCCTCAATTAAGAGCGCGCCTTCTTCTATCACCCAGCCGCCGGCGAAACAGAACATTGCAGACCAACCGAACCCCCCAACACACTCCGGCAACCAGAAAAACGAACCAAAACGCTCATGCAGCCATCGATAGCGGTTACGAAGAGATGCTAGTCCGAGAAGCCCAAGACGCTCCGACCCGAGAAATTGAAAAGCCAGAGCCGCACCCGACCCTAAACCACGACACCACAGCCCATAGACCCTCCACGGCACCGAAAGCCCTGCACCCACAAACCCTAACCCACCTTCCAAAGAAAGCGAATTTGAATCTGCAGCCACAAGAACCATCAACTTCCGTGGTCATCGAAGGCACAGCACCTGGGAGGGCCGGGTGGCGTAGGAACGACCACCGGTAAGGCTAGAAGCCGCGAGGAAGGCGACGAATTCCGATTTTTAGCGGCGAAGGAGGAAGAAAATTTGGGGATCGAGAGATAGAGAGAGAAAATGTTATCCGTTAATTTGGTTAACCTTTAGGGGTACCATGTTCGAATCCCTTTCTTGCATTATTTTTGCAATTCTGCCACGTGTGCACGATTTGCCACCTGGGCGCTGACTCGGATGTCCGTTTGGTGTGTCCGTCAGTTTTAAAAGCCACGTAGGATTCCCGTTAACGGCAGTTAAAACAATGTATCGGATTGCCAAGAATGTAAAGGTCATGTATTTATTTGCCAAGGTCTAAAGGTGGTGATTAAATGGCCAAACATGTAAAGGTCGTGTATTTTCCCGCCATTAAGCCATTATTTTATTATAAACTTCGTTGTCTTATAATGTCATTATTATTTATAAAAGTTATAGAAGTTTTACTTCTTTTTTCTTTTTATTTTATGTAACAAAAAATATTTAATGCACGTTAGTATTATTTAATCTACCTCGTAATGTAGTTGGTTTGGTCTTTAAAAAGATGCTTTTGACAATTGAGGGCTCGACTATCTACATTATTGGGAAAGTGTATTTTAATGACTTATATAACATAGCTTAGTCTTGAGAAAATCAATTGATTTTCCTCTTGTCTCGCTTAAAGCTCTCTTGAAAACAATCTCGTTTAAAGTCTTGTAACTCATTGAACTCTTAGCTTGCTTAGCTTGCTTAAGGACACTAACTTTAATCATCTAAGGTTTAATCCTAACTCACACAATCCTACTTGGCTCATTCATGTCACATAAGCATGCACATTAAAGAGAAAATTCGATTATACAACTATACTTAGAACCCGATTAAATCTGTCATGCGCAACGTTTTTAAAACATGCACAACTCTCAGCACATAACGCATATTAACATGATTCAAGTCTCAAAATGACCCTAAACATGCGGCTACAACTTTTATTTAGATCACAGAAGCAGTTAAAGTCATTCAGGGTGAAAAATCAGCTAACATTCGAAACCTAGTTGCTGTTAAAAATCTAGAACACAACTCATGCACAACTTCGGTAAAACAAATATAACTTTTGATACAGACCTTATATTGACAGGATCCTTACACACACAGAAAGCTAAGAGGCATCTCTACAACATTCATGAAGACCAAAAATTCATATAAGCACGTTAGAGCACAGAAAACAGACCAAACATAAACAACTACATGCTGCCTGATTTTTCAGAAAACTGCTTGCACACTGATTTTGAAACGAGCATATCTCCCAAAATACAAAAGGATTTTGCATTCTTGAACTCACAGAAAGCCAACTTAATAAATTACAATTCATATGAAGAGTACAACATCAAGAAACACGATCTTGAAGGTCAAAACAGCACATGAACAGAAACCAGCGAAAATACACGTTTTTCATGACGAAACTTCAACAATTCAAATCCCGACTAATGCAACTTGAACCAAACTTCTAAACATGATTTTCACATCCTAAAACGTGTTCAATATCACATAAATTTTCAGCATTTAATATCAATCACATAAACATAAACAAGGATCATAAAAACATGCACAAATCATCATACTTTCTTCTCCTTTCAATGGATCTTATCGACATGCTCTTAATCTAAAATTCTCGGCTCATCTACATATTAAGCAAGCATAATCATTCAACTTCCAGACTTAAACACTTCTATAAACCTCCTTTAAAAATTATTGATCCAAGATCAAATTTGGAATTTTTTTTATCTCATAAATTCATTAAACCTCCTTTGATCTTGATTATTCTTTAGTTATCTTTGATCATCATTATTAACACATAAATCTCAGCCTAAGGTGATGAAGAAGGTCGGTTTACCGTGCTCGGGAAAAAGAAGAGGTAATTGGCTCAAAGAACTCGGCTCGGGTCTCGTGTGGGGTTCGTGCGGCTGTCCTCGATGCGCGGCGTGCGGAGGCTGGCGTCGGGGCTATGGCGCGTGTTGCTGCGGCTCTCGGTCGTGGACTGCTCGCGGAGCTACTGCTGCCGGGACGCGCGGACAGCTGGGACGCCGGTCTACTAGGGTCCTTGCGTGGGGCTGGTGGTGTCGGCTCGCGTGAGGTTGCCGGTTGGGGCGCGCGGAGAAAGTCTCAGCCGAGAGGGAGGTAAGGCTCGGGAAAAATAAATTTTGTGATCTCGTGAAATAATTTGGCGTAGTTAAAAATAAATCTCATGGGGGAAAGGATGTTCACTCACTAGAAAGATCTTTGTGGGATAAGGTATCATTATATCAATTATCCTGTTTATGGGACTTAGAATGAATATAGGATTCTTTATTTTGGTAGGAAAATGATTTATTTTGCTTAGTGAAGGAAGAATATTGGATAAATCTAGAACTCTTATTCTCTCTCCTCTTTCTATTTTTCACGGCAAACACAAGGAATCTCATGGGGTTGGCCGATTTTCATGTACTCAATATCATGTTAAATTAATACTCTTTCTCCTTTATTACTTAGGATATCAATTAAATAATTAAATTATGATTAAAGAAAGTTTAATTAAGAAAAATTAAATAGATCGAGACATCTAAATAAATTTCCATTTACTCTTTATTAATAAAATTAAATGGACTTTAATAAAATTAAAATGTTGAGCTTAAAATAAAATAAAAATGAATGGAATTAATTATGCTCATTTGGGGCGCTACATTTTACCCTCCTTAAAATATTTCCGTCCTCGGAAATAAGATCATCTAGAGTCATTAATCATTTCTAATTCAAAGATAGGATTAGGCGGTAGGTACCTAGTTGCTTCGTTGGCTTGACTCGCCGTCCATGCGAGGCTCCTCTTCAGTCGACTCCTCTTTAGTCGGCTCCTCTTCCATTTCCAGTGGGACTTCCCTTTTCTCCCACAGTCTTCCCACTTGAACTACCAAGTCGTAGAAGTTGACCGTTGGCATTCTTCGATTGTTTGGGTTCCTCCTGTTCGCTTCCCATAGCTCCTGGTAAATCCTATTCGCCTCGGTCATCCATATTGGCGGCAAGATGTCGATAAGCTTTTTGCTTCCATCCCAATGGGACAGGATGTTAACACACCTGCCTCTTAGCTCTACCCACCTATCGAGTACCTCTTGTATGTTTCCTCCTATCGTCTTAGCTTCGGTGAATGCAAGTCTCTCAAACACCTGAAGCTTCTTAGTGGTGATACTTCCAGGGCCTAATCCGTAGTTCCTACTGGTCCTCATTGTACGTGCCATCTATAGACATAAATCATTCAATACTTGAACATGGATCTAAGGAGACAAAGGGATAACCAAAGCAAATACTTAATCTTGAATTGACTTGAACGGAAATTGTCTTGATCTCATTGGGTTGGCCGATTTTCATGTTCTCAATATCATCTTAAATTAATACTCATTCTCCTTTATTGCTTAGGATAGGATATCAATTAAATAATTAAATTATGATTAAAGGGATTTTAATTAAGGAATATTAAATAGATGGAGACATCTAAATAAATTCCCATTTATTCTTTATTAATAAAATTAAATGGACGAGGACAATTTTCCATTTTAATAAAATTGTAGAGCTTAAAATAAAATAAAAATGCATGGAATTAATTATGCTCATTTGGGGTGCCACATTCTACCCTCCTTAAAATATTTCCGTCCTCGAAAATAATATCATCAATTGTCATTAATCATTTCTAATTCAAAGATAGGATTAGGCGGTAGGTACCTAGTTGCTTCCTTGGCTCGACTCGCCGTCCATGCGAGGCTCCTCTTCAGTCGGCTCCTTTTTTGTCTCCAGTAGGACTTCCCTTTCCTCCCACAGTCTTCCCACTTGAACTACCAAGTCGTAGAAGTTGACCGTTGGCATTCCTCGATTGTTTAGGTTCCTCCTGTTCGCTTCCCATAGCTCCTGGTAAATCCTATTCGCCTCGGTCTTCCATATTGGCGGCAAGATGTCGATAAGTTTCTTGCTTCCATCCCAATGGGACAACATGTTAGCACGCATAGCTCTTAGCTATACCCACCGATCGAGTACCTCTTATATGTTTCCTCCTACCGTCTTAGCTTTGTTGAATGCAAGCCTCTCAAACTCCTTATGCTTCTTGGCGGTGATACTTCCAGGGCCTAATCCATAGTTCCTGCTGGTCCTCATTGTACGTGTCATCTATAGACATAAATCATTCAATACTTGAACAGGGATCTAACGAGACAAAAGGGATAACCAAAGCAAATACTTAATCTTGAATTGACTTGAAAGGAAATTGTCTTGATCTTAAGGAAGATAATTACTAATCATATTCTCATACTTGTTCTTAATCAAATAAGCGAAAAGGTGCTAAGGAAAATAAAATTCGAATTGTCTTAATTCCTAAAAGAAAATTGTAACGCCCCACTTTATTTTAAAGGATTTATCGAATTTATTTAATAAAAATCACAATAAATTTTTCGCAAACTTTAATTTAATTAAAAACTCAGTGGCCGCTACTCAAATTTACCAAAAGCCTTTATCCGAAAAAGCAACCACCTTAAAAACGAAAGATAGCATGCTCAAATATTAAATCATAAACCTCACTAGCATTCATTAAGTTCCAAATCATAAAATACAATTCATAATTCTCAAATTCAAAACGACATAATCAATATCCAAAATTTTCAACATGAGTTCATAAACTAAGCGGAAACAAAATTAAATAAGCAATAACAAATGACATAACCACCACCCGTCTTGTCTCGTCATCCGCCAACTGCTTAACCTGCATCAGTTACGAGCAGGTGGGAGTGAGTACAGTTAACTATCGTACTCACACTATGCATATGAATAACATAATAATGGTATGGTCGCAGCATGAACATAAACAATAAAATCATGTCACATCTCTAGCCACATCAATGACTATAGTCTCATCAAAGACTCACTCATGTACATCTATGCTCATCAAAGCTAAGCCATGCCATATCAGTGAAACATGGGAGTGCGTGCCACATCAATGACACGGCCTTCTCATAGGTCTTA